TTTAATGAAGCAGATCAGTAAAGAAGCAGAGCCTAACCAGGACAGCAGATCATCTCAGGGCTTCACTAACAAACACACAGCTTTATAAAAGTTAACAGAACATGTGTGTCTGCAGCTGTTCCACCTTATAATGCAGTATGATCAAGGCAAGGCAAGTTTATTTGTATGGAACAATTCAATACATGGAGAATTACAAGTGTTTTACATGAAGTAGATATTGAAATAGAAGAAAAATAAAAGCAAATAAAGATGAAAACCTGAAAGCAGCTATTAAAGCAGGACTATTAAATCAGTTGGACCGCAAATTTAAACTAATAAAACCTCATTTAACAGATATACTTCAACAGTCAAAGGCAGCTCTAAACAAATTAGTTTTTAACTTTGAATTGAAAGAACTCAGGTTTTTCTCCAGATCAGTGGAGCATAGGAACTAAATGCTGCTTCTCCATTCGGTTCAGTAAATTTGCTCCAGTTGGAATCAAACATAAAAACATCTGTTTTATATAAATTATAATAACTAGGTATTTGAAGAAATATATCTTCTGGAGATTTTCTATTTTAAAATACTTATTTTTTATTTGTATATATTTTTACTTATACTCTTTTTGCAGGTAATACAGCAGAGATACTCGGAAAAAAACATTTATAATCATAGATGCATCACAGCTTCCTGTTAATACTGTATTTAGTGTAACTTTACAGCCAAAGCTGGGCTGTTAAAGGTTTAATCTGATCCAGAGTTTAGTTAATCTGGACCAGTTTCTATCAGAATAGATGTAGATGAAGCTGCTCCATCACAGATTAATAAAGAAACTTAATTTAAAAACAATAGTTTATCTGTTTTATGTCAACTTTGTACACAAAAATTAAAACCGTTTTTTTTTTTTTCTAGAACAGTTTCTGTGTCTGAGTGTTTTTGCAAAGTGAGAAACAATAAATAAACAAACAGTTGATGAATTCTGCTGATGTCCTGTTATTGTCCCTCTGAGGGGTAGAGGAACGTCTGCATCTCTGACATGAAGGACCAGAGTTTGAATAATGGATGGATTAGGAAGGACATCTGGTGTTTAAAACTATTTCCAATCTGTTCAGGAGTTTTTCCTTCAATCAGGAAGAACAGACACACTATAGGCTGTGTTTCCACTCCTGGCATCGTCTTGGAGCTGCAGCGTTTAGACGCTCTGCTGTCTTGTTTGACGTGTTTGTTTGGGTCGCTCTCAACAAAACCTGTTGCTGCTTGGACAGGCGGAGCGAGAGAGACATGACTCCTCTGGCCCCATTGAAATGCATATAAAATTGGACAATGACAATTAGTTCCACTGTTTGAAGTGTTTGCCTTTTTCTGTTACCGTTTGTTAATAACTTAAGTTGCCCTTATTTCCTAAAATCCCTTTTCTTTCCAGGGACCGAGTAGTAGGCCCTGAAGCCATGTTTTAAGACGAAGAAATGTTTTAATGAAATCGTTTAATAAAATATTGTGGACTTTTCTTTTGTCTGGTCCATCTTGTTTAAAAATGTCCCCCTTTGCGGGTCACATTTCAATGAAGTGTAAATTAGCATAAATCTGTATAATACTTAATCAATTTAAAATAGCATTATTAAAGTTTGAAGAGGTTACACCTACAATGTTCTACAGCAGTAGATGAACAAAATGGTCCTGAGGCAGAATTACACTGAAGACTGGAGGTCAGATCTAATTTTCCTCCAGAAAAGTTCATTCAACATTGATGCAATAAACTTAGATAATTGGACACCATTGAAATCCATAAGTGTTGAAATAAGAGTTAGGGAGTTTAATTAAATTCTCAACCCTGAAAATTGAACACTTTAGATTTTATTCTGTGGATTAAAGGTGAAAAATGGAGGAGATGATGCAGATGTTCAGGTCAGGATGTGATTCAATGTGAATGAAGCCACTGAGCCACAGATCCTTCAGTAAAGATGTTTAGGATCCTCAGTTCATCAGATTTAATCTGATAACTAAAGAACTGAGAGGAAAGAACCAGAGAACCAGAATCACAGAGAAACTCTGACATTGGGTCAGAATCTGATGGTATGAAGACTCTCTGGGAGCTGGATCTGATTACACCTTCTGTCCTTTTAAATTACTTTCTGATGCAAACAAACCAATTTCAGTTTCTGGTTCTGGGCTCACTTAAATATAAAAGAAGAGATATTCTGGGCTGAATGAAACTGAAAATATTTTAGAAAAATAAGTGAAGTGAATCAGAGAACGGTTCTGAAGGCCTCAGAGAGGATTTCAGTTTGTTTGGTTCTGAGCTTTTTCTCTAACTGTTTCCATGATCTGGGTCTGCAGAGGAAGAGGAACCAGCAGAACCTTCATCACCTCCTCATTTCACCTAAACTGATTAAAGATGTGTTTCTGTTAGAGGTCTGAGACTACAGGTTCTAAGAGGGAAC